GGGGGGGGGGGGGGGGGGGGGTTAGCCTCCATGACATAAATATAGCTCTGTGGTGAGAAAGCCCAGGGAATGCAAACCAGCTAGAATTCTGGAGGGCGCCTTTGAGACCGAGTTTCTCTCTCATGCTCATCACTGGCACTGGCGTGTGGCTTCCCTGTACACTGATGGACTGATAAGTGGAAGGTCAAAAACGAGCACGTCAAACTGAACAAGGAAAATTACTGGCATTTGCAGACGAGCAGGAGAGCACGCACTTGTTCCTACGACTGCTATGGTTTCCTCCAGCAGTCCAAAGACATGCAGTTAGGCTAATAGGCATCTCTAAATAGCACCAGTGTGTGCTCCGTGCTGGGTCTGCCCCTGCCTCGTGTTATACGCTGCCAGAGACTGGCTCAATGCCCCTAGTTGAAGGATAGACGGATACAGGATAAAACGCAGCACATAACAGGGTGAAAGACATTTGTTTACACTTTTGCTGGTGTCATACTTCGTGATAAGAATAGTCACAGACTCAAAACAGCACAGAAAACAAGAGAAAAACTAATGACCACACTGTATCCATGGAGAATGAGCACTGATGGCTGTGCAGTGAAGTAAATTAACCTTACAGTGTTGAAAAGGTCCACTATAGGGTCTAGGTGTTCATGGAACCAGTAGGGGCCAAGGATTGAAGCCAGTGCATGACAAGGACAAACAAGGGGCAATGCAAAGGCACCATGTGACCAGTATGTTTTTGGACAGGAGGAACATATACAGAGAAACCGTCATTTATACAGGGGGAAAACACGCAATAATTATAGTAGTAATAGTAGGACCAACACAGGTTCCACTGATTGTCCCCAGAATTACCTGATCTCTATTGGCTATGTGGGAGTATGGAAGATCCCCAGCCATCAGCTCGAACAGCACGATACCATAGGAGTACACGTCTGACTGGAAGCTGTAGGGGTTGTTGTCCTGCATGCGGATGACCTCTGGAGCCTACAAAGAAAAGGCATGAGGAGCTTAGAGTGACGCACCATCACCACGCAGGAGCTGAAACACCTCAGCACCACCTAGGACCAAAGCAGTCTCCTCACATTTGGAGAACAGTCTTTAAGGCATTAGTGCATTCATCACAATGCGACTTTAGAAGATGCATATCCATGCTTTTAAATGAAAGGCTCAAGACAAAGTAATGGAGGGGGGAGCTGGGTTACGGCCAGCTCAACTTCCTGTTTAGTCCCTGGTTGAGGCTGATAAGTGCTGCAAGGTCAAGGCTGCTTTCGAGGCAAACGGCAATATCTCTGAAGTTAGAACTACAACAGTCTCTAAATGAGCTTTTCCCCCATTTGACCGGGAGACACAGGGCATGTCACCACCTTGAGCTCAGGAAGGTCATTCGTTATTTTTAAATACAAATAGATGCGACAGAGGGGACATTTTCCTAGTAGTTCTTAAGGAGACCATGGGAAGACGTCACACTTCTGGAGCCTCACCATCCACAGAATGGATCCTGATGGCTGTTCTACTTGCTGGGAACCACTCCACCTGGACTTCACTGTGGCCAAGCCAAAGTCCCCAATCTTCACTGTCAGGCCTTCATGTAGGAATATGTCTGTGGGGTCATCAAGGTACAGCACAGGTACAGAAGAGCACAGCAGAGCATATTGCAGCAAGGCTCATTCTACTGGCACTAGCAAACCACAGATTTGAAAGCCCATGCGTTGCCATATTAACACATGTAGTAAAGAATACAAAAAGGATACTGTTTGATTTCATGTCCCGATGGATGATGTTCTTAGCGTGTAGATAGCTGGAAGGGAAACAGAAATAAAAGGCTACATCAAAGATTAAAGCAAACCCAACTTACTTCCAAACCTCAAGTGACCCTCTTAACACTTGGAACACTGAGCTGTGTTTTTCATGTCAGTATGCTGAGACAGACCGGGGGGGCTCTGGGATGCACGTAACCGAAAGCGGACTCACTCCATGCCCTGCGCCGTCTGCCGGGCGATGTCGATCAGCTGAAACATTTTGAAGTTGGTCTCCTGGACATGCAGGTGCTTGAAGAGGCTGCTGCCCTCGCACCATTGCGCCACGATGGCCAGGCTGTCCTTCGCCATGTAGCCCATGAACAGCAGGATGTTGACGTGCCTCGTCTTCCTGTAGACAAAGAGAGAGGAAACGAGGGAAGGCAAACGTTGCGCCGATAGCGGCCTCCAAGAATCCTGCATGTGGCACGTTACTTAAAACATGGCACGATATTTGTCATATGGGGGTCAGGAAAGAAGGGTCCGCTGTGGATGCATTTATCAATATCTCTGAGCTGGCCTCTCACCTCAGGACGGCTACCTCATTACGGAAGGCCTGAAGCTGCTCTGGAGTGGGATCCGTGACCTTTAAAATCTTCACTGCCACGTCACCTGTCAAAACACAAGCTGCTATTTACTCCGCTAAGACTGCAGATGTTTGTAACACATTTTTTTTTTTTAAAAACCCAGCAAACCCAGAATCTCAGCAAGGACTCCGTAGTGTGCCAACATACGGCATCAGCTCTCGGACGCGTGACGGACAAATTCCCAGAGTGCTTACCGTGCCACTTCCCTTTGTACACAGTTCCGAAGGAGCCAGAGCCAATCCGAGATAGCAGGACGACCTCACTAGCTTCTATCTCCCAGTAGTAGCTGGAGTCCCTTTTGTCCCTGGGGCGCTGGAGAATATCAGTAAGAAACGGGTCCTGAGGATTGAGGTGCTCTCACTGGCTAAGGACACACAAGCTCTTGGGGCAGCTGAGCCTGTTAAGGGCTGGAATTAAATGGAGCAAAGTATGAACTTACAATTCGGTGCTTCTCCTGCATGCTAGAAGAATGTGACTTCTCCCTGTGTGTGGGAGCTGGGGTTTTGGACTGGGACCAGCCAGTGGGGCTGTGACTCTGAGGGCTTCCTGTGACGGAACCAATAAGGGAATGAAGTTCTACTTAGCAGGAGCCCCGCAGCTTGCGGTGACCCTCCCCAAGCAGAGCACTGGCATTTAAATGGCTCACCTGATTCATAACCTCGAATCGCATCCTACAAAATTTAATGAGAAAGAAAGAGAAAGTAAAGAAAACATTTGGAGGTCACAGCATTCAGCAACAGCCAAGAAAAACAAAAACAGCACCAACAACTTTACATTAAAAAAATCAGGACAAAATAAGGCATAAAGAGTCAAGCGGAAAACAAGCACTTAAAAAATTCTGAAAGAACAAAGTTTTCTCAAGTCATATAAGAATATTTAAGAAAATTGTAAGCACAGGATGGCAAGAGCCTGCAGAACATGTTGTGCTCCTATTATAGAGGGTATTGCTTCATTTTAATAGTTTCTGGCAGCAGGCTACTCACTACGCAATGCCTTGGGTATGATCTTAGAAAAGGCTGATGCCAGGCGCAGCAGTGGAATCCAAGGAGGAATCCATAATGGAGTCAAACGGTCTAGAGCTGAGGTAGACACTGCAGACCTTCTCTGGCAAACATCATTACAGGGAAGGTTTAAAGACCTTCTCCTGCAATGATACGCGGCAGATTTGGGGATGGGGGGCTGACTTAGAGTGGTGTGATGGTGCTCTGTGCAGGCTTCAGCAGTCATGGCCGAGAAGCTAACAATACCTACTCTTCTCTTGAGGCAAAAGCGACGACACCAGGAGCTGGGAGAAGCATTCAGGTAATCTAGCTACTCTCCAGCATATCACCGCACACAGAACAGTGAAGAAAGGAAGGAGAAAGGAATGAAAGCAAGAAAAGAGGGAACACAAGCTGCCTGAGATGTATTAATACTGAAAATTGTCCCAAAATTGAATGTCTCAAAAAAAGCTCAAGCGTCATTTAAAGATGTTTTAAAAAGCATAAATAAAATACACATAGCCACAGAAGAATATAACAGATGGGTTAAACTGAAAGTTCTGAAGATCAACATGCTGTGTGAGTCAAACATACATGATGTTCCTGAAAATGCCACAACTTTTCAGTTCAATGGGAGGCATGGCTTCTATAAAATTCCCAAGATCATACACACAGGGGCACATCTGTACATTTACCTCAATCACAGTGCTGTCAACAGCAATGTTGGTGCTGATGTGGACATTGGGGGTGGACGTGGACCTCTGTCTCTGTGACAGAGCGCCTCCTGGAGGTGGGTAGCATACGTTGTAGTTGAAAGCATGCGGTGTAGAATGCCGGTGTTGGGAACTGAAATATAATTGGCAACAGCGGAACTTTGGTAAGAATCACCTTCCCTTGAAAACATTTTTATACAATGTATTACAAAAATGTATAAAACCACCTTTTTAATAACACTTGAAAGCTTGCAAATCTTTTGGGAAATTACCCCAAGTGCAATTTGTTTGTAGAGTCCCTGCTTTTCTACAAATTATTAACCTGTGCAGTGCCCTCTTGTACTTTTTGAATGGCTACTTGACTCAATATGCATGCGCAAACACACTTCTCTTGGCGCAAACGCTGAAATAAAGTTCACTCTGGTTCGTGAAGTTCCTGGGGTTTGGTTCTGCTCTTGGGGGGNACCTCTGCTCATGGGAACCATCTGGAGGTATTTACAGTGCGAGTGCTGCTACCTGCACTGCCAGTGCCACAGAACACCTCTGCTCATGGGAACCAGAAATATGGTACAAGTGCAAATGGAGACAGAGAAAAAAAAAAGGGGGCATGGGGCGGGGGGGGAGGGGTCATATGTGGCTGAACATTATGTGTGTCCATCAGGTCAGTTGAGTTTTTCTCCACGCTGCGTCTAGGCTTGTTTCTGCTGATCCTGAATACTGTGCAATATCAAATGATACATTTAAAATATTTCCAAGGAGTAAATAAAGCAGGGAAAACAAAGCTATACTTCATATTAACTATGGTCACCCCTCCTTCAGTGTCCCGCCCCCGATGCTCTTGGCTGCCCAGGCATGTTCCTCCGGTCCCCTCACATGTCCCATCGCCGTGTCTCTGTTGAGTCCATATCCCCCTGGTTCAGATACTCGGCCGGCACAGGGGTGCAGAGCTAGAAGACAGGCAGCCTGCTGGAGGTGAAGGTGCAGGGGTTGATGTCCTCGGTGTGCGAGGCGCGGTGGAGCGAGGGCTCCGAGGTACTGCGGTTGATCTTGGGCAGCGAGTGCTGGAGGAGCTCTATGGAGGAGAGGATCTGCAACACACCACCAAGGAGCAGTGGGAGAGAGCACCATCATCCGGGACACATCAAGCACAAAGCAGGCCAGTACTGACCAGTAGGGGGCAGACAAAGATACTAAATGTTATGACCAGTGAATTTCAGCTGATACATTTCAGACGTACCAGCCTGTAATACCAGTTTTTGGGTCATTCCTCAGAAGTTCGAAACTGGTTGGAACTAGGTCACAGAAACGACGGATGGTGCTCTTTTGGAGAAAATCAATGCAGGTGGAACAGGCTTAACAAAAAAAATGCACTTCCTCAGCTAAGGAGGGCTCACCTGTGGGAAGAGGGGGCGCTCGTCCTTCAGCTTCTTTATACAATCCGCCACCAGCCTCTTCATGGATTTGGGACAGTTTTTATACAGCTTGCTGAGGTCTGGGGCTAGGAATCCTCGACCCACCATAAAGATAATCTGGGAATGACAAGACTGCGTCATTTTATCCCTGGCGATTACATGACCGTAAGGCAGCTGCCGACCTACAGAAATGAGGGCCCTGGAAGACCCCTGAAACACCAGGACCAAGGCAAGAGAAAAAGAAAGGTGTGGCTCCCTGTCCAGTCCCGCCTGAAGATTCCATCCAGAGCATCACAAGGGGTTCCTAAGCAACTAATTGACTTGGGGCAAAAAAATACTTTCCCCAAAGCGACTGTGGCTGCTCTAAGGCGAGTCAGGTCCCTGGTCTAATTATAAATGTAATGATATTAGCATCAGTCGTTACTGCCTCAGACGTGTCAGATTACTCATGTCTACGCACACAGCTTTACATGTTAAATGTCCGAGCAGGGGCCTCTCCAGTGACAAACTAGTTTAAGCAATGGGTGTGTTAGGGTAGAAATCTATGTCATATCCCTTTGGTCTTGCAAGTGGCAGGCAGGGTGGGGGTGGGGGGGGGGGGGGGGGAGTACCAAAACACTGAGGCAGCATAACATAACCACCAGCTGGATGGGTTGATGTGGAAATACTATGAAGGAGAGTGGCTCACCCGACCGGAAACCGCGAGAGAGATTCACGCATGCGGCGGGAAGTGTGAGGAGGGACAGATGGGCCTCCGCTCTCCCCAGGAATCGAAAACGAACTAAAGAAGAAACAGCAGCAAAGAAGTTATTGCTTCATAAAATAAGTAACTACAGGGAACCCTTTTGTTGATTGAGAAACGTGATTTTAATCAAACAGATCATACACTGTTCAGCACTGATGTCAGCTTTAAAGACTGACTGACTAAATCGTGATTAGTAAACATCTACAGAAGAGCCCCATGCTCAAAAAAATCCAGTGATATAAAAACCAAGTACAAAGACCCATGTGGGCAGTTAGTGCCATTCTGTTGTGCAAAGGAGAGCTGGCAAGACTTACAGAAGCTGCCGGATATTGCTCCAGTCGACACACATGGTGGGGACCTTAGTACTGCAGTGTTCATGAAATTTGTAGCCACACGTCTGGCATCGAAAGCCATTTAAAAGGAACTTTTGGCATATGTCACAGAAGGCTAATTTCAGGAACGTTTTCCGCACCTGCAAAAGAACCAAGTATTGCGAATTAAGCCCCCTCTCAAGGGGAGTAAGGCCATTCTGATTGGACTGCATGCTGAACTTGAGGTGACTCACAAAATTATGCGTAGTCAAAGGCACATGATCCAGCACTTCCACCAGAAGCTCCTCCCCAATAAGTGTGGTAGAGTCTGTGTTCCAGTCCATGCGGGATTTTTTGCTGCGCAAAATGAGAAATTCGCTGGGATAACCAAGTAGGCGAAGCCAGTTATAACTATACATTTCGTAATAACGAATATGTAATAACTCAACAAAAATTAAACTGAATTATGATAACAATAACGATGATGATGACAATAATAATAATAATAATAATAGGGTAATGTTGCAATATAAAATTATAATGCAGCCTCTAAATTTGTAACATTTTGTCGTGTTATTACATAATGAGGTGTTATTACATAATGCAGTGTGTAACAATGCATTACGTAATAACATTGTATAATGTGACAAAAAATTGCTACATTTTGTGAAATTGTTACATAATGCATTATAACACCAGTTCTGTTCGAAATTCAAAACTCTAACTGCAAGGAAATTATATGTCATTTTAGGAATGAGCTAGAGGAATCTCTAGTGTATCTGGAGCGATCTAGTTTATTCACTCATCATCAGGATTTCAACACTGGCACATGCCATTATGCTGATTAGAGGGAGTACTCAAGAGTTATTAGTCATAAAGTGTCTCTCACTGTCACTGCCCTCTTCTCTATTAAGTAAGGAACAAATGACAAAGTATATAAACACAAATATGTTTTGATACCACTGCCTAGACATGAAACTCCTGGCAGCTCCAATCTCACTCCCCTGAGCTTCGGGACATCTTGGGGGAAAACTCTTTAATAATAGGAAAAAGAAAACGAAGATTCCAATTGGGCCAGTGGGAGCTGCCCCTACCTCCTCTGACCAGGATGGAGCTTGAAGACAGCACAGCACTGTGGTTGAAGTCCACGCACCACAAGTGCCTTGATGAGGCAGCTATGGAGCGTCATTCCCGGGCGAACATTCACCTGGGGGGGGGAGGAAACCAATGATCACCCAAGACACATTCATGTTCAGGGTCAAAGGGTCAGTACTGCCCTCCACACCGTATTCAATAAACGATGTTGACTTGTTCACTAGGATTAGCGCAAAGTGTAGCCCAAGCTGCAGGAACTCACCACTGTGCGCTGTTTATTGGGCAGGTAGACGCGGATTGTGCTGCTTGTCTTGGTGGAGTCGGGAGATTTGCCTTCGTCTGATGAGCGCCGACAATAGGTAAAGCCTTGGTCAATGGTCGGGGACATGCAAGGGCCCTCAAAGATAGAGTCCTTCAACCCAAACCCATTGCTAAGGGTCTTTAATGCTCCTTGGATGTGCTCCATTAGCATTACACGCTGGACTTACAAATCTTTAAAAGAACAGACAAAAAGAAAAACAGCAGTGAACATTTTACCCAAGGCATCGCAAAACAAAACAAGACCATGTGACTGACAAAATATGTTGTAAACAGGAGCAATTACAGATGCATCATTTTAAAAAAATACAAACAAATAAGGGCTAATATATTTTGTAAGACTGGTTTGTTTTAAGTTACTATATGCAAGAGAGATTATGTAACTCAGTGAGTTTACTGTGAAACAATTTATATATCAGGAAAAAACAGTAACTAGGTGCCAAGCAGGGCTGTGGAAAGCTTACTTGATGTTTGTGCACAGACCTTAAGGTAATAAGCTACTCCATGCCTCTAGAAGAAACAGCATAATTGTAAGGGAGCTATTGTTCTCAGAGTCACTCTGGTCAACACAGGACAAAAATATTCCTGCACAACATAATGAAACTCTGAATTCAGCCATTCACCCTAGAATAGTAACAAGCTATGAGTCGTCATTAGTGTGATGTCACAGTTATCGGGCTACCCTATATTATTACATGCGTATTTGCAAAAACCTTTTCTGGTTTCCTCATTTTCACACATAGTACCAGTATCACAGTTTTACGTGCTGAATTAATAACACTGCTTCAGACATTCCTCACTTAACGACCGAGTGACTAGGTTGTTAAGCAAATTGGTCGATAAGCGAGGAGCCCCCCCTTACCGATATTTCAGGCAAACTGTACTGGTAGTGGGATTGTGTCAGCCATCTTTAGAAATTGTTTTAATGTCACCTTTACAGTAAAAATGTTATGATACATGTATAAATGTTTATACAGTATTATACTATATACTGTATTAAAGAGAATAGAAGAAATCAGCGCTAATATACATTACTTATGTTTGCATAATACAGGTAATCAGAGATTGCAAACGCTAGTGTGGTGAATACTGACCACCTGCGGGAACAAGACTGGGAATGTGCAGGTGTATAAAGGAGGCGGAGCTCTGCAATATACTGGGGAGCAAGACCATGCACGGCCGTAAAAGGCATCAGAAAGAGTTCATACTGTATACAGAGAGGGACAGGTAGCTGGTATGTGTGGAATTTTCAGTGCTAGCGAGAATTCCAGCTGCAGAACTTTGTATGTGTTGTAATACAGAGTGTAACTTAGCAGGAAGACCAAATAGAGAATGGCAGTAATGGAGACGGGAGGAGATGAGGGCTTGAATGATCGCTACAGCGTCTGTGTTGCTTAGCATGGACCGGACTCTGGCCGTATCGACAAGATAAAAGAAAGCAGACTTGGTGAGTGAGCTACTGTTAGCATTAAAGGTGAGATTAAAAGAACACCAAGGGTGCAGACATATTTAGAACTATTAACCAGAATAGACATAGTTTAGAGATTGGCCAATAGTTCTTTAGATCAGAACATAACAGTCCAGAACCTGTTTTTTGGGGTTAATACATCAATCGGAATCTATTGGAATAATGCTGACACTAAAAATCTGTTTATCGGGGGGGGGGGGAGCATTAACTAGCCGGTTTTATAGTAGAAATATTGTCTCGAGGCCTACAGTTTCAACTAATGATGGCTGAAGAATAACAGGAAATGTGAGCATCATTTAGAGCAGACCGATATTTTAGTATATGCTCACTGTAAGGTAAGGGACATGCACTGAAGCCTGTTTTTATAAAGCCTACCGTGCTTGGCCCCCAATAATGACAATGTTGCTGCTTTACTTACCCATTAAACTTTCTTTGCTCATCTCACACAATTATATTTACACATTTCTTATGATACAAAATAATCTAGAACTCATATCTAAAATATTAGGTCATCAAACATATGTGGCTTAGACTCATTCTTTTTTACTTCATTTCCCAATTCAGGTTTCAAGCTTGATTCTCCAGCTGGACTGTTAATGCCAAGAGAACCCCCCCCCCCTTCAAAGCAGCAAATAACCACTACACATATCTAATAAATAATTTAAATCACCAACCTAGCCCACCCTCCAACAAAGTAACAGAGGATCCCATCTGCAACAGGCTGCTTGTTCAAAACAGAAGTGAAAACAAGAAACTAACAAAACAGCAAAAAAAAGAGAAACTCGGCACATTTAAATGAATGAGGCAGGAACACATGACATGAGAGAAGAATGACAGCATCTAGCTGTTAGGAGGAATAGGCAATAAAAATGAGCCAAAAATGGATACCAAATGACTATTGGTATTGGAATTTAGATCTGCAGCATCAGTCATAACTGGTTTGTTAATGACTATTACGCACTGTCACGTCGTATTGCAAGCTTGCATAATGTGTCAGGGGTTAGGATGCAAAAAGCACATGATGGTAAGGAGGAGGATAGCGTGCAACCTCTTAGAAATAAAACACAACATGTATCAGAATCACATTTAGACAAAGGAAGCCGATGTCACTGCGAGTAGCAGCTCACTATGCCTGTTCCACATTGTATTCTAGCAGGAAACTGCTACACACAAAGTAAGACATATTGCAGGTAGTAACTTTGCAGTTTTCTTGCTATTACCACTCATTGCCAGCTACAATGCAGCTTTCAAGTTTGATATGAGTATCCTCTATTTTGTTTAGATATGACAGAAGTTCCCCATTTCTCATTTCATCAGTCTTATTTTTCATATTCCATTTAGCATATTGCAGTTTTTTTTTTAAACTTCTCACGGGAAAACTTGATATGGCAGTGAAATTACAGTAGTTCACTGACATATCAGCATGTCTACGCCATAAAAATTTGCTTACAGGGAAACAATTTTCCATGTAACAAATTGTATAAAACTCTGTAGTCCCTCATTACATTACCTCAAATGTCATGCAATGTTGGAGGGAGTCAACAACACTAATTATATGCTATTTAATTGACTTACTTTTAAAATACATATATGAATTTTAAAGTAACTGTCTAAGACAAATATTGTAGCAGAGAACTACATATTCCCCCATTTCACAATGATTTAATGCGAAAGGGAAAGTCAGAGGTCTGACCTCAGTCCCATGCAAATGTATGTGTGCATGTGTGTTTGTGCTTTGTAATATTTCTTTCCCTTGGTGCTACATTTTTCTTTGTTTTACTATCTGACCTCATTTTGACATGGTGTGGGTGCCTGACGAGTCCGTCCTGCCATTTTATGACAAACCACTGTCTTTTACGATACATAAATAAAAACTGATAGGCCTATATTATCAAGCCATTTCAGATGTAAAAATGTATCAAATATAAGATAAAAAAAACAGATAGATTTCCCAAGACCTAATACAGATAAGGGTAAAAGCAAAGCTTAGAGCCAGAGTGCAGAGCTTTTTATGTGGTACCCCTGGAGCGGTTTTTGGTGTTCAAAGCTGTGCTCAAGCGCCCAGCAGGGGGTACATAATCACTCTGGGACTTGAACCAATGACCTTCCAAACACAAGTAGAGAGTCCAAACCCACAGAGCCACACACTGACCTGAAATTCTTCCAGCAGCACTGAGGAACATTCAGGTGATCTTAGAACAAATGTTAGACAGCAATTTATTATTATTATTATTATTATTATTATCATGTTGTTGTTTTTGTAATAGCACCATATTGCAAGTGGAGATAATTCCACTGTCAGGAGCAGGTTTCCAGGTTTGTTTTTATTTTTCATATGGCAGGACAGATAACGCCCCACTTAACTCGACCATCTGACTCCAATCAGCTTCCATTTATGGGGTCATTATCCAGGAGGTTCACATACTTTTTCCATCAACGACCTTGATTCTTTTCAACAAAGGCAAATCACCTGAGATATGCAACCCTAAAAAAAACTTCGAAATCAAATTACCTGCTGCTATGAAAGAAATACTAAGGCTCCGGAGCTTAGTGTTGACGTGTGATCATGCATTATTGGTAAAGGGTCCCTAGTTCTGATCTATTTTCTTGGGAGGGTCCTGTGTCGAAAAGTTGAAAAACATTATGCTGTGCTAAACACGCCTCAATGTACTGGCAAATATCTCAACCATCCAAAAGTTAAATCAGTCCTTCAAAACACATGTGTTAATCAGAATAAAAGCCTTTCATGCAGTCCTAATAATACCAAAAACTTAAACAGGTACTCCGGCACAGAAACACATGGCACTGCACGTCCCACCTGTCAACTTTCAGAATTGCACTTCAATGACAAACCTGGGAGTGACATGATCAACCAATCTTGCACAGAATCGCAAGTAACGTACACACAGGCTAAACCTAACCCTAAACCTAACCCTAACCCCTTCAGGGCAGGCAAACACATCTGTCCAGGCTTTTAGAAGCAAATGTCCCAATGAAGCAGGGCTGGGAAAAATGCTGGTTGGATACAACAGAATAAGACCTGTGTACTGTAAATACAGCCTATGTACATAGCGTGTTTTAACGTTTCCAGTCTGGTTTTCAGTACAAACACGACTCACCCTTAACTCACAGACCCAGCCTTTACACTAACTTAGGTTTTAACCTTTATCAGAGCGCAACAAAAAACGCAGGCACACCTAACTGTCAGGAAGATCCCGATGATATCTGCGATATTTCTTGGGTTTCCATGGCTATTGTAGTTTCTATCTCTGGCTACTGCTAAGGGTAAGTCTTAAAATTATAATATGAGGATAATTAAGGCTGTGGTTTAACGTCACACATATACAATTCTGTTATTAAGACTTGCTTATTTTTATATATATGCATGTTTTTTAGCAACTGCCCTGACATATTCTGAATAGGCCATTTTGTCTGAAATTTGTGGATTATTATTTTTATCTTCTCATATTGTGTCATTTACAAATGCACCACAAGCTTTTGTTTTCTCATGAGGTGGATGTCAATTTAAGGCACCAGGCACACGCACAGCGCTTGCCGCCCAAACCACCAAACCACCTTGCATCTAATGGACCTGAAGCAGCACGCTATGCAGTTATGCATCTACCAACACCGACATATCAATCCTGCACCTATGGATTTCCTACAGTAATAAACTTTACATTTATGCAAATTGCACTTTCTTTCACGAAGTCACATATTTAATGCTGTACAAATACTACCTGATTTTTTCACACTCTGCGTCGTAATAAAGCAGCTAGTTAAAACAAAAATTGCATATTTTATAGCTCTTTATTACGTCTTATGCGGGTTAGGATTATTTTTGTCATGACGTGCTGTGTTTATGTTTCGATTTGTAACTCGTACTGCAAGCCTTCAAAGATTAAACGACACTAATGCTCTAAAATAGCTCATCGCGTATTAAAAACGACACAGTGGCCAGTTTCATGCGCTTCGAAGGAACATTTAATGTTCGTCTTTAGGGAAGAGTTTCCGTATAACTTCGGAAAAGCTACTAAGTATATAGGATAAGGGGTAAAACACTTTCACTTTACCCATCTTTTCATATCCCTATATGCAACAGATAACTGAAACCTAAAGCTCGATATAACTTAGGGACTTTAAAAAGCTTCATATTCAAACAATGCAGTGTAATTAGCCCGACTTTCGGAACTTTAAATAAAGAGAACTAAGTCTGGAAACGTCGAAAACGTTTCTAGTTTCCAAGAATACGTTTCAACAAGCATCCGCATTTATAAATACTCAGATCTTTATGCCAAAAACGGTACAATAAATCAGTATAAGCCAAGAGGCTATTGTTGTCTGATCTTGACAGCGACTTAAGGCCCTTCAGCACGGAATCTAGAGCAGCTTCTATGTAACAAAGTTACAAAGCTAATGCAGTTAGCATACTTACATTAAAACGTTAGTGCAAAGCGCCGATATCCGAAAAAGATCACGAAAATAAACAGCAGTTATTGAGCACTTACCAAAACCAAAGATCGCTGCAACCCCGCCATACGCAAGAGAAAAACTTGCAACTTGGTGACATCATCATATTTAGAAACTCACATTAGACGAAAAAGCATAGCGGCCAGCCCAATGCAACACACAAAAACACTTAAATACGACCGAAGCGTGTAAAACTTTGCTTAGTCCTTTGCACTTACAAAAAACTTCTATATCTGGTGTTTTCTCTCTGTATGGTGTGAAACTGCAATGTGCAAATTTAGGCTAAAATGCAACTAGATTAGCAACACCTTCTGAGTGTCACATGTGATCTCTGGCTAAAAAAGGCTTACACTCCAACCACCCAGTGCTATCTTTGATCTGACAGATTATTTTATGTCCGCACGATCACTTTTTGGCTTTGGCTTTTTTTCGGTCGTCCTGATTTCTCACTAAACACATTAGTCAGCACACGCCGCTTGGTGACGCTTCTGAAAATGTGAAGCGACTCCGAGCGTAACGCGTCCGTCTGACGCCAGTCAGTGAAATCGGACACCTTGAACCCAGTAGCCAGACGGAGGCCCAGTACTGTACCAGTACATTTTAGCAGAACACCGCGTTATATTTTGGAATTTCGCCTGGTGCCAGGTAGTTTGGTATGCGTAGGTAATAATAGTTCTCCAATTTTTTATTTATATATTATGATTATTTAAAAGATTATTTATAAATCCGGGCACAGGAGAACAATTTCATCTACAATTTGTGTTTTAGAACCATATTTCTACAATAATCTTGTTTCATTTTAGGTTGCTCACTAAGGAAACCTAAAAATGAGAATATACAATATCCAGGGGTTCTGTGTTGGTGTGATGTTAGTTTAGTCAGCCCGTCCTAAGCCAGATCACTGGCATATCCAGGACTCTTGTTCTCACTGTGACAGTGGACAGCAGCAAGCAGAGTAAGGCAATAAAAGTGGACTTCACAGTACGTAGTCTCACATGTATTACCGTAACAGACTTTTCTTTTCCACAGACTAGTTTTAAGTAATCTGTGGTCTCTAACAGACCAATGCAATTTGTGTGTAATGGAGATACACCACTATAACAATCCATTAATGAACTACATACTCCATCTGCTGGCAAGGATAACACATTGCAGCACACATGATTTCATTTTTAACAAATGATTACGTTGAAAACATATATCAGGGGTGGGCAATCTTATCCAGAAAGGTTCGCTGTAAAGGCGGGTTTTCACTGGAACTCCCTAATTAGGTTACTAGTTAGAGGACTGATTGGCTGAAGAGTCCTCACACCTGGGTTTGAACAGCTGCCCTAAAGGTTATCCCAAAAACCTGCATACCCACCGGCCCTTTGTGGATTAGATTGCCCACCCCTGACACACACACACACACACACACACACACACACACACAGAGTGTCCTGTATTAAGAGGACATAACGTACAGAACGTAACATATGATTGTACAAGATATCAAGTCAAACACTTCATCATGTAGTGAGAGCACACTAGTCCTCATATCTATTGAGTTTGATTAGTCACAAGCTTGATTAAGCATTTACAAATCTCTATTTTTCTAAATATATATTGGTAAATGGACTGCATTTATATAGCGCTTTTTTACTACTCTTACGAGTACCAAAGCGCTTTATAGTTATGCCTCACATTCACCCATCCATCCATCCACACTCACATTCACACACCGGATGCAAGGTGCCAACCAGCTCACCGGGAGCAATTTGGGGTTCAGTGTCTTGCTCAAGGACACTTCGATGGAGTCAGGAGGACCCGGGGCTCGAACCTGCAACCCTCCGGTTGCCGAACGGTAGCACTACCTCCTGCACCACAATCGCAATTAATAAATTGTGGTATATTTTTATAAAACATATGTGAGTTTGCATTGAAAGTCGCAGCATCCTATGGGAGGCCAGCAAACAGGCACTGAGAGCCCAGCTCGAGCTCGGTCAGTTCGGCCAGTACTCACCTGAAGAAGCTCCAGTAGATGCCAGCATGAAGGACACTGGTCCCTTTGTGTAGATAGTTGAGACAGATTGGAGGCCTATCTAACATAGTTAACGTGGGCCAGCAAAAGCCACCCCCACCCTTTTCTAATGGACAATAACACTGTTAGTAGGAAACAAGCTTTAGACTGCGTCTGCATATTGCATAAACTAAAGGCCTTAGTATTTGAAGTCTCCAGAGCTATCTCTAATTAACATTTTTTTCCCTCTAACTGCTGATATTTTTTTTTGTAATTTCACAATATAAACAGCCCCGATAAGCACTCACAAATTGCCAACCACATCTCATCAAATAACAGGGGAGGACTAATACAAGAAGCTCACATGCAGGAGAGTGGAGGCAAAGGGGAGGGATCGAGGGCCATCTCGGCAGATTTTTAAGGTGCACCCTTGAGTTCCCGTCCACGAACTGCCACGTCAGAGGTTAGGGAAACAAATGCTGGATAAACCTCTCAAACTGTAAGAACTGGGCAACAAAACAAATGACATGTTATAAATATAGCAACAATGCAAAGCAATACATTGTAAAACTTCTGCCAATAAATAGAAGAGCAGCTTCATGCAAATATTTGCCTGAAGCAAAAAAAAAAAATTTTTTAATAGTTCAGAATACTTGTAAAATTAGGTGAGTAGTGATGTGCTTACCAGAATTGGTGCAGACCACCTTAAGAACTGTATGTGGCTGCATGTTTCCAGTTTATTGATCTGGTGATCTAACACTTAGGAAGGATGGTTCAGACGGTTGGCTCCATTACTAAAATGTTTTGCTGATAAACACAGTTTCCAGGACAAAATGTTCCTGAGTAACATTAGGATGGTTACACTGAGTCTACTTGAGTTGTGCCTATAGCCTATAGGTTTTTAAAAAAAATTTTTTGACTAGAACAAGAAATTGTTGAATTAATAAATGCATTTTATATCATGAATAAATATTATCCGAGGCTTCTTGAAAAGATCTCTGACTAGGATCGCCTGCAATCCAAAATTTTCATAATCAGATATTTAAGTATAACCTGACATTTAACACATGTAAAACATTGGATAACCATTTACTTTACTGCTGTAGTGATGTGCAGGGGCATGCTGTCAATAAGCAGAATTTATGTTCTAATTTAATTTGACTTTTTAGAACAGACATAGAATGATGTCTATTAATTCTTTAGCACAATGCAGAAACATAAAATAAAATTCCAGAAATGCTATCCATTGACAAATATTTTGACTTTAATGATTGCAGCTAGTGCTCCAAGTTAATTTGAATTTGGTGACAGTTTTATTGTTTACCCAGTACAATATCTGCAGTGTTTATTTTTTACAGTACAGCATCTCTAATGACAGGATTTGCCTTAAGGCATTACAGCTGGGGCCTTCATAAATATTCAGTGTTACTTTGTGTAAAGGTTCAGTAATTTAACTAGCAATCAATCTTCTGCTCACATTATGCTCAATTTTCTTATTACCTGAATTAAAATGTAATTTTGTTCACTTTTAGCTTCACCTACTATTTATATTATAGCATGAATATATGAGTAGGTCTCATGAATTGGGAGTGCGAGGAATGACCAGTTGGTGCACCATGCACCAGTAATAACAGATGACGGAATCTAGTCATATTGATCAATACCCTATTTATAGGCTGTATTATGTACCTTTATAAATCCAAGACTTTGCATCAGAAATGGTACATGGTTAAAATGGTAAATGGTTACAATGTCATTAATGTTTCCATGAAGCATTCCCTACAAAAATAATGTAATACTGAGTAATACATAAGGTATATTGGTATGATAATGGTTGATTAATCATAATATTAAAATGATATATAATATTTGAAACTGATCAGTGTATAATATCCATTCATTCATTTTCTAGGTCTAATTGACTGCAAAATAATGGAGTCTCTCCTAGGAAGCACAGGGCACCAGGCAGTCCATTATGAGGGACATGCTGACCTACACCATCATATCAGAACGAAATATTAGGTATGGTCAGTGGCACAGAGGAAACTACCATAACATTTTCTAAGACGTGCGAAAGAAATGAAAATGAATTAAGTTGTGCATGCTTCTTATCTGAAAAGCACACAAATGTACTACTTTTAATTATTGAACAAGTGATTCTGTTTTAAAAATGAATTCAGGGAAAGAAATACCAGGGAATATTTACCAGAAACGACACCCACAGTGGACTTCCTATCTGTCAGTGGACTTCCTGTCTGTCAGTGGACGTGCCTCACAGTGGATCTGCAGCCAGACCCTTCTTCTGAGGATCAGCCCCTTTGTTATGTCAGTTCCACTAGTGGCCAGCAGATGTTGCTGGTCATCCCAGGGCCTTTTGAAAGTCCCCCCCCCCCCACCCCAACCATCCGGATCCAGGATGTAACATGCAGACACCCAGGACCACTCCTTGGGACCATATCTTTCCCAGTCAATAAAATAGTGGAGACCCCCCTACAGCAACGAATGTCCAACAGCATATGCCACCTGCCAACAATGCTGTTGGAATTTGCAGTTCTCAGTCTTGATGAACAAATTGTTTTGGACAAGGTATTGAAGAATCTTACAGCCATGTTACATGTCATCCCATTCACTGCAAGAAAAAATCAAAAGATCATCAAGGTAGACAAAAACAAACTGGTTCAGCATGTCCTGTTGTCATTTATCATATTTTGAAAAATGGGCAGGATATTGGTCAGACCATAGGGCATCACAGGGTACTCATAGTGACCAGTAGGCATAAAAGGCCGTATTCCACTCATCACTCCCCCATATCCTTACTAGATGATCGGCATTACGTAGGTATAGTTTAGTAAAAACATTACCCCCCTGACGAAAGATGTCATGACACTCACAATGACAGCAGAGTAGAAGTTCAGTTGAACATATTAACATATAAATATGAAAATAAAATATAAATATAAAAGATCAAACCTCTTGAATGTAACATGTGACTGGAAGATGCAGGCCAAAATTGTCTGGGACCTCACATTTCCCAACTGGCTGCCAAGCTGAATGTCTGCCAATAGGAGGAGCAGAAGCAATGAGGGATGAACCTGAGATGCTAGGTGCCAAGGGTGAACATTATGGAGATGTTGTAGCCCGATCAACAAGACATTGATGAAAGAGGATTCTCCCCATGTTGCACAGACTTGCTTTGAGTCATCTAGCCTACTCCTGCAGTGCAAATGCATGTAGGTAGGTAATTTGATCCTCAAAAATGGCACACGGAGTATGATGGTATGTTGTGCTGGTATATGAGATGGACTGGCCTTCCATCTGGGGTGTACATCAGCCTTGTGCTCCGTGCTGCCCGAAATAGGTTTTAGCCCCACCCCCTAAACCAACCCAACCCTGACCAGGATAAGCAGTTAGAAGATGCATGTACAATTTGTTCCACCTGTCATTTGTTGTCAGTGTTTGACTTGGAGTGTCCTGTGTGGAGAAAGACAGATACACATTTGCACATTCGAATGACTTGTGTTTCCCACTCAAACAACTGTGTTTCCCATTCATACTCCGAAAAGCATATAGCTAAAATTATCAGCCTCTTTGTAAGTAGCATCCATCAATTAATCCATTTACCATAAACACTCATCCAATGTAAGTCCCTGGCCCAAAAAGTCACACGAAGGCATTACTCTAATGCTATTTTGGTAAACAAGCACAGATGCTTTTTAAATGTATCTGTAAAAATACAATTTATTAGATAATTATAACCTAAATACACTCTAAATAAAACTGAAGGGACTGATTTAACGCTCAGGAATATCCAAAATGAGTATTTGCCCAAATACAAGAACACATGGCATTTCTTGAACACTGATACACTTTGGGGAATTCAGGGGCACCAATTCACATGATTTTAGGCTCAATCCCAAACTATACCCTCAACACTCCACCTTAATTATGAATTACATTCACGCTGAGTTGCCCTTACAAAATGCCCTATGCACTTAAACTGAAGGAAATTTTCGCAAGAAAGATCTGAGACAGACTCACCCTCACCGCACCTTCTACAGTCTTCCTCATCAGAAAGAGGAAATGCATTTTGTTGTGACGTGACGAAATAGCTCGCTCAAGAAGCTGTATTGTCATTTCTTTAATAATGAGTGGAATTAGTTAGGAAAATCAAATAGTTTATCTGCTGCAAAAACAACATTTGACATTTTGAGTTCTATAGGTTTTATATAATCTGGGCCATATTGTCAGAAATGTATCATCCTCTTCTGATTAATATTGTATAATTGAATAAAAATGGACAAATATTATTGTCATAGCTATCCAGCTTGTGAAAACAAACTGCATTCAGAAACGTAACTTTCAGTAACTTATACGTTTTTAAACATTCAGTCACACTAACTTAATACTAACTTGATATTTAATGTTTTATTTTAATATGTAATTGTTTTCTTACTTTCATATGGCAATACATCATCCTCAATATTTTTTCACACTGTTCTGTTTTCTGTATGCAAAGCATTGTGGGATATGAAAATGGTAATGGAGCTGCATGAGCTTGCATTGTTGCTGACTTGCTTTATGAAGGCATAATGGGCCAATTCCGCTAACCCTTTGCTGCTTAGAGATACACTTCAGTATGGCGACGGGTCTCGGGAATGCGCAAATGAAGGCAGAGTGGTAAAGCAGAGTGTGTCGGGACCGGTTTGGGATCGGGCCTTAGACTGTAGAAGAAAACTGGTGTATCTGAAGGGCCACCTACCAGACTGCCCTCCAGTGGAAATTAAACTTCTTTGCCAATTTCTAGTGAAAATGTGAAAATGTGATTGCACACATTAGTCGGTTGTGAAAAGTCTTGCATTATCTTGGCCCTTGGGGCCATTGCAAACAGCTGAAACACAGGCACATGAAACCCAGAAAGCAGGACTGTTAGGGGCCAGAGCCAGACTGACAGTATTACATGCACTTTCCTTTTAGCAGATTTACATAAGAACATAAGAACTATACAAATGAGAGGAGGCCATCAAGGTGATTCATAAAAAAAGTATTTTTCCTTAGATACTTTTTCAATACTTAGTTTATTTAAATTTAGTTTATTTATTTATTGCTTTATATTTATGGTATTCCTATGTCTAGTTAACATATACTGAATCTGCTAGGCCTTACAAATACTTGTTGCTTCACTGGAAAACATGTTGCGTACTGGAAAAACTTTCAAGTAAGGCAACAAATATTATGTTAGATCATTTGATTTAGAGTGCTTCTTATTTTGATTGCAGTGTCTAACTGCTGAACATCACCACTTTAAATTCAGTATCATTAGAGCTGCCATTATAGCTGCCTTCGGTAGCTCTTAAGTCTCGAGTTAGCCAAATCATTCATTTAATAATTACATTCCTGTAAAAAAAACTTCCGTTGCGTTCACACTGCAAGCTCTTTGCAACGTGGATTACACCAGTAGCCGCATGTAAACCTTGGCAGCGGCGAAACCGATTCTGGTTCAGTGTTTCGGAGTGGTAGTCGTGTTTTTTTAAGACCGGAAATGCGGCGGTACCCGTTGGAACTCCTGGACAGCCATTGGTTGGTGTATGGAGGCGGTACCTGCAACACTCGCATGTCATTGGTCATTGTGAGTTTGCAGTACAGGCGCAGTGTGAGCTGTAACCTAAGAAGGAGGGTAGGACTCGTGGAGTTCATGCGCGAGACGGGAACCTGCACATCCGTACAGCGAGTGGTTACTCAACTAGCCGAAGTGAGTGCGTTGGATTCTGCTTAGTAACCTAGCCGTTCATTGCAGTAATATGTATATTTCTGTTCGGTGAGCACGTTAGGTGATATATGAACTCGGAGAAAAACGAAAGATTGCTGGGTAGTTTTTTTTTAAGGGGGCGGTGCAGTTAGATAAAAATTCAGCCGCGATTTCGGGGCCTTCAGGCCCAACTATAGCGCGGGAAGCTGCACCGCTTTATTAAATATCAGGTTTTTTTTTCCTAAAATGATGTTAACTTTGGATGGCACGACAATCTGGGCGCGGTGAGAAAATGAAGTTATGGCCGCCTCTAAAGTTACAAGCTACAGATACAAGGTGTCGAGGCCCTAGGTGTAGCGTGGGTGGGCGGTTATGAGGATTAAAATGAAATTTGATGTTTTTAGATACCGAGTACGACAGAACTACAGCCCCTTGTAACCGTTTTGATAAATAGAGTTGCAGAGGTGCAAATGCTGGTAATTTGGCCTTTTCTTTTGGGAAATTCCCCTTTTGACCACGTTTCAAGTAAAGCGGGGCATTGGCCTACATAGCCTGTCTAGCTGCATTCGTCGGGTGATGCCTCACGTAATGCGATGGAAATATTTTTCAAAATAACGCTATTAATTATGAAGCTGGTAACCGGGAATGATAGAGTTGAATTGCACGTTCTAAATCATCGGGCTTAAAGTAATCGCATTAAACATACTTCATGGACCAGAGCCCTGGGGTATTTTTACGACGTAATAGACGGGTTTTTAAAACGCAGTCTGTATAATATGTAATAGCGACTGTGCTCTGAACGGTCTATTTCATTTTCCATAGTTTCATTGACGGGAAAAGTTTTTTTTAAATATTTTTTTTAATTGTTTGCGGTATTTTAGTTGGCGATTAATTTTTCTACCGGGCTGATTCTATATTGTCATGATGGTGGTTATCCCCGCTTCCACATGGGTTTTGTGTGCTGCAAGCCAAAGAAACGTGCTAGGACTGTAGAGGTCAGTGGGCCTTACAGGTGGCACATGGCGTGGGAGCGGCTGCTCCCGTGACCCGGTGGCCATGTTGGGTTGAACCTTATTTAGACGTATCTAGCGCTTGAGTGGCGAATTAGCTATCTGTCCTAAGAAGGGTGGATATACTTAAAGCATACGTCAGATTTCACGGACAGTTTAAATAAAAACCCTGTTTTTGAGAGACGGCGCTCTATTGTATATAATGTGCAAACGGCCTGGGTTTGTAGGATCCACCGAGTTTTTTTTTGTACAGTATTCGCCCGGAAGTGGTTGGTTGCAGCCCTGTCATGCATAATACAAGCCAAATGCTGAAGCTCTAATTAAGGCACATTTGAAGGTGGTTCTTCCCTGCCAGTTTCTAAACCTTGGCGGTTGGGTGATTAAAGACGTAAATGTAGTTAATGGAGTTATTTGAGAAGTTGCTGCATTCTGTGCTGATGCAGACATTGTAATAAGTAATATATTGACATTGGGTAATAGAATATGGTTTGCGCATGTCCTCTTTACCTTTTTCCCAAAGTACAATAATTTACATGTTTTGCTGTATATACTTGTCAAAATGTGGAACCACATTTGTTTTAAGATCTCACTATAG